ACACTACTAGAAGAGGTTAAAAACAGGTAGCATTATTTCAAATTGAATCGTTTGAAATTTGACTTTACAATTGAACATTTTGATATAAATGGCCATATGCTGAAGTGGATTCTACCTCTAAATTCTTACAGTTTAAAGCTTAATAAAAATATTATCTTGATTCTTAGGGAGTCTGAATCTAGATTTATTTTTTATTTTTGTTTTTGGCAATACTGGGGTTTGAACTCAGGGCTTTGCGCTTGCTAGGCAGGTGCTCTACCATTTGAGCCCATCATGTAGTGATTACCACAATCAAATCAATTAACACATCTTACCCACCCATGCTAAACATTATATTCCCTGAACTTGTTCATCTTCTTACTGAAAGTTTGTATCCTTTGCCCAGCCCCTCCCCACTTTCTGCATCCTTCAGCTCCTGGCAACCACTGTTCTATCTGCTTCTGTGATTTCAACTTTTTTAGATTTCACCTACAAGTGAGATGACGCAGTATTTGTCTTTCTGTCTAGCTTATTTCACTTGGTACAATGTCCTCTGGGTTCATCTACACCATTGTAAGTCTCAGGACTTCACTGCAATTCCCCCCCCCACCCACAAGTAACCACATGAAAATATAAGCAAAAGAAAAGATAAAACTGGCCAATATATGGATAAAAAGATGGTCCATGTCATTTGTAACCAGGGAAATGAAAATCAAAACCACAGTGATGCTGAGGATGTAGCTCAGGGGTAGAATGCTTACTTAGTATATGCAGCACCCTGAGTTTGACCTCCCCACAGCAAATCAAAACAAAACAAAACAAAAAACAATCATCCCAAACCACAATGAAATGTCACCCTACACATGTTGGGTAGTGTGACAAGACAAGAGGTAATAAATGATAGTGAAGATTGGAGAAAAAGGAACCTATATATACTGTTAGTGGGAATATAAATTGGTCCAGCTATTGTAGAAAACAGTAGGGAAGTTTAAAAAGTTAAAAATAAAACTACCATGCAACCTAGCAATTCTTCTGTTGGGTATATATATCCAAAGGAAATGAAGTCAATATCTTGAAGTGATATCTGTATCCCTGTGTTCATGAGAAATATTAGTTATCAGATGGAAGCCACCTAAGTGTCCACCAACAGATGAAAGGATAAAGAACATGTGGCATATATGTGTACACTGGAATAATATTCAGCCACACAAAACAAGGAAGTTCTGTCACTTGTGACAACATGGATGAATGTGGGGGATATGTTAAATGAAGTGAGCCAGACACAGAAAAAAAAATACTGTATGGTTGATCTACATATGTGTGGAATCTAGGTTAAACAAATTGGAAAAATAAAAAGTCTTTTATTTGTCTTAGTTTCCTTTTGCAGCAAAGGTTATAAAAGAACAAATGGGTCTAGACTTTGAGTTCTTATTACAAAACAAAAAAGTTCAGCTACATAGTGACTTAGAAAGGAAGAAAGAATTTGAAGAAAATGTGGGTAAGAATCGGTTGAAAAGCATGCTTCTCAAATTGCAGTTAGATTCTAGATAGCCTGGAAATTGATATAAGCATTCATACTTCAATTTTGAGAAGGAGGGAAGTTGCTCTGTCCTTCAGCTTGCTCTGTTCTCTGCTGTCCCAAAGAGAGAAGGCAATCCAGTCAATGGGTGGGTTTCCTTTCAGTCCCATTCCCACCACCAGCAGATACTGATGGAGTTGCTTGTCTTCTCAGTGTAAGGCACCTAGTAAGGAGTCCTGTAGGCAGCAATGGGGAAGGAGGACACAGCAGAAAGATAAAATGGTCTCTTACCTTCTGGAATCAGCTCCAGAGATGACATTTCTCTAGTAGGAGTTTTAATATTGACTCATTACATTTTTACCAGGTCATTAGAGGTCATTAGAACCACGGTCATTGTCATCACTGACAGATATAAGAAACCCATGCAGAGAAGGGAAAGGACTGTGCTAGAGGTCAGTCAGCTAAATACTGAAAGATAGGAAGAGACTCCTGGACTGCTGCAAAGTTCCAGGCAACATGGAGTTGGAGTAACATATGTTTCCTGATTATTTTTACCATTAACTCAAATTTAGTAGAAAATATTTTGAAACAAAGTTCTACTAATCATGAAAATTGCATACTGTTTTGTGTTGAGTGTAGTTAATATACAAGGCACAAAGAGTAATATTCATTAAAATAATGCTTCAACAGGCTTTTTTTGGTGGGGGGAGCAATACTGGGGTTTGAACTCAGGGCTTTGCACTTAGAAAGCAGGTACTCTACTGCTTGAGTCATGCTTCTAGCCCATTTTGCTCTGTTTTTTTTGGAGGTGGGATTTTGCAAACTATTTGCCTGGTCTGGTATTGAACCAAGATCTTGCCAATTTCAACTTCCCAAGTAGAAATTATGCTCTTCAAAAAGACAAGAAGAAGAAATAAAAGGACTACAAATTGGAAAGGAAGTAGTCAAGTATCCCTATTTGCAGATGCATGATCTTAAACCTAAAAGGCCCCAAATAATTCCGCCAAGATCTCCTAGACACCATAAACAGCTTTAGCAAAGTAACAGGATACAAAATTAACTTAAAAAATCAGTAGCCTTTCACCAACAATGAACAGACTGAGAAAGAATGTAGAAAACTAATTCCACTTACAATAGCCTCAAAAAATAAAATACCTAAGAATAAACTTAACAAATGATGTGAAAGAACTCTCCAAGGAAATCTATAAACCACTGAAGAGAGAAATTGAAGAAGACTACAGAAGATGGAAAGATCTCCCATGTTCATGGATTGGTAGAATTAATATTGTGAAAATAGCTATACTACCAAAAGCAGTCTACATGTTCAATGCAATAAAAATTCCAATGACATACATCACAGAGATTGAAAAATCAACCTTATAAAGTTCATTTGGAAGCACAAAAGACTGTGAATACCCAAGGCAATATTGAGCAAAAAGAACAATGCTGGAGGTATTACAATACCCAAATTCAAACTATATTACAGAGTCACAGTAATAAAAAAAAAAGAAGCATTCTACTGTCACAAAAACAGATGCGAAGACCATTGGAACAGACTAGAAGATCCAGACATGAGTTCATGAAGCTATACCCACCTAATCTTTGACAAAGGAACCAAAAACATATAATGGGGAAAAGACAGCCTCTCCATACATGTTTCTGGGAAAACTGGGTATCTGCATGCAGAAAACTGAAACTAGATCCATGTCTTTTACCCTGTACAAGTATCAATTCAAAGTGCATTAAGGACCTTAATATAAGACCTGAAACTTTGAAGCTAGTGCAAGAAAGGGCAGGGAATACATTGGAATTAATAGGGATAAGCAATGACTTCCTAAATAGAACTCAAATGGCTCAGCAATTAAGAGACAGGATTGAAAAATGGGACTTCAAGAGACTATAAAGCTTCTGCACAACAAAGAATGGTCTGTAAATTGAAGAGGCTGTGTGCAGAAGGGAGAAAATCTTTGCCAGCTATTCATCTGACAATGGATTAATAACCAGAATATGCAGGGAGCTCAAAAGACTAAACTCCTCCAAAATTAATGACCCAATGAAGAAATGAGCAAATGAACTCAACAGAGCTTTTTCAAAGGAGGAGTCCAAATGGCTGAGAAACACATGAAGAAATGCTCAACATCCCTGGCCATAAAGGAAATGCAAATCAAAACCACACTAAGATTCCATCTTAATAGCCATTCCTGTTAGAATGGCCATTATCAAGAACACAAACACCAACAAATGTTGGTGAGGATGTGGGGAAAAAAGAACCCTCATACACTGCTGGTGGGAATGTAAATTAGTACAACCACTATGGAAAACAGTAACTAAAAATAGAGCTGCCACATGATCCAGCAATACTACTTCCTAGGGATATACCCATAGGAAAGTGAGTTAGGTTAAAAGGCACCTGCAAACCCATGTTTATTGCAGCACTATTCACAATAGCCAAGCTATGGAAAGAGGCAAGATGCACCATAACTAATGAATGGATTAAAAAAATAGTACTTGTATACAGTGGAATTTTATTCAGCCACAAAGAAGAATGAAATGTCATTTGCAGGTAAATGGATGGAACTGGAGAACATCATCTTAAGTGAAGTTAGCCTGGTTCAGAATGCCAAAGACCACATGTTTTCTCTTTTATGTGGAATACAGACCTAATACAAATACATCAATATCCTGAAAAACAGATCGTGCTAAGGGGAGGTCACATAAAGTAAGGGAGGGTAAAAGAAGGAAGTTAAGAAGGTGAATATGGTTGATGTATACAAGAATAAATATAGAATTTTAAAACCTGTTGAAACCACTATCAGAAGGTGACTAAAGTAGAAAGACGAAAAATGGAGATGAACCAATTCAGGTTATAATACATATATACATGGAAATGTCACAAGGAAACTCCATGTGTAGCTATCTTAAGCAAAGAAAAATGTCTTTTTTTTCTTTTACAAAATCAGAAAACAGGGGTGCAGAACAGGCCCTACCTGGGGGGGTGGGTTATCAGTGGCAGGGGAGAGCAGGTCAGGAAAAGGCATGGGAAGGTATAGATGTACAATTTGTGTACACATATATGTTAATGGAAAAATGATACCTGTTGAAACTATGCCAGGAATGGGGGGAGAGGAGGGATAAAGAATGGTGGAGGGGGTGAATTCAAGTATGATATAGTTGATACATTGTAAGAACTTTTGTAAATGCCTCAGTGTACCCCCGCCCAGAACAACAATACAAAAAAAGAAAATATGCTGTTTAAATTCTTGTTCTTCTTAAGGTGTCGATCTACCTTACTCAAGGATCTAATACAAATCTGGAGGTGTCAAATATTAAGGAGGTTCTGAAGGAAAATTTGTCTTTTCCCCTTAGCTTGTCCTGTTTCTTATTGGCATACTTGTATTTAATTGATATTCTATCAGGATTAATATAACCTGTCTTCATGTTCCTAACTTCTTTTTGTGACTTTTGTAGCATTCCTAATTCCTACTATAATTTTTTCTTCTAGGTGAAACCAATAACCAGCACATTTCCTTTGTGGCTGGAGGGACTGTTTTATTGTTGCTTGTTATCCTAATCATTGTCATCATTGTCATTTTTTATAACAGGTGAGTAGAGCAACATACAGAATCTTTTCTAGTCCAAATAATTCTGATGCTAGAGGTTCTATGAATAGTCCAACAATTTATCAGATGTCTCAGGATTCACATATATTTCTTCAAGCATTGTTCTTACATAAGAGGGGAGAAGTAGGGATAGTAAAATTAGAGATGAAAGCTAGGGTAGTTCAGTTAAGAATTGGTTGATGTTCTTCCTGGTACCTCTGCTCAGCCCCTACCTGTCTTCCTCCTTCTCCAAGGAAAAAGCTGCCAGTGAAAGTGGTTGTGTGTATGTGTGTATGAGAGAGAGAGAGAGAGAGAGAGAGAGAGAGAGAGAGAGAGAGAGAGAGAGAGACAGAGAGAGAGACAGAGAGAGATGGGGGAGGGAGGAGATAATGCCTCCATTTGTTCATTCATTAGTTATTATTAGTTATTTATTGTGCAAAGTAGTGAAAAGATATAATAAAGCACACATTCCAATAAGCTAACAGCACAATTTAAGGTGAACATATGCTTTCTGAAACAAGCAGTCTAGAGGCTATTATTATTAAAGATTACTGAGAAAGAGTTAGAGGGGTTACCTTAGAGAGAGGGGGTAGTCATTAGGCTCTACTAAAGTTTCCTAATTTCTTCTGTTTTGTGGCACAGGGAAATTTTCTAGGATTTTCTTGGTTGACTCTTTCTTTTTTTAGCTCTCCTATGCTCATGAACCCATTCATGTAGTGTTTGTTGGGTAAATGAATGTATTAATCTCCACTCTTCTCTCCGTGGTAATATTACTAAAACACACACACACACACACACACACATGCACGTACACAGGTTTCTCCATCTCCATCCTTGACCTCTGCCTTGTCTACAGTCACCTAATTTTAGTAATCCTCTCCATCCTGCCCCCAATCTCAGTTCTACTCTCTCCTAATTCATTGCTTTTTCCTTGTTCCTCTTTTGGAAATTGGACTGGCCATGTCATCTCCTTGTTACACTTTTTATTATCCTCTGCTGCCACCAGAATAATCTTAAAATTCATTAATTCTGGCATCAAAGGTGCCTTGCTTTCTGACCCTAGTCTGATTTTCATCCATGTTTCCCACTTTATCTAATGATGTTAAGCTACAACTTTAATTCTTTGAACACATTCAACTCTCTTCCCATCTGGTATGCTACCAAAATGTGGTTTCTCTCATTTTGGCCTTAATCCTGTGCATCACTCAGCGTGCAGGACACTTGTCCTCTCTGCAAGATGTTTCTCTGATCCTGTGAACGGACATGAAGTCACCATCTGGAATCACCTTGTACTCCTTATCTGCTGCTCCTTGCACCCTGCTTTGTACTTTAAATGTTCTCATTCTTGTCTTCCCTTCTTTAGTATCTATGGTATTCATAATGGCAGGGATTGGGTTTTTTCATTTTTTAAGCACTTGATAGCATTTACTACTAATCTGTCCAAATAATGGATGTTCAGTAAGCATCTGTCTGATTAAAATGAAACATGGGACAATTGTTTTGCCTTTCTCTCCATCATAGGCTGCCCTCAAGTCTTTCCCAGACTAGAAATTAGCAAATTGAGGTAAAGACCCCAAATGTTAGTGTCACTGAGGACTCTACTGCTTCACCTTGGTGGATTAAAAAAATGCGGAGAGGGCAGCACTCACAGAAGGAACGCACAGGGACAGGCAGCTTGACTGGGAGAGTGGCAGACAGAATGACCC